GTCATTCCCCCCAAGCTGCATCCACCCTCTCTAATACCTTCCCTACTTCCCTCCTCTTTCTCTCCTCCCCTCACTACTCTCTTCCCCTCCCCTTCTCCTCTTACCATCCTACTTCCTCCCTTCACCTTCCTCCCCTCTCATCCCTCTCAAATACATGAATGCAGCGTAGGGGAAATGCCCAAGCAGCACCTCTCATAAATTACCATATCTATATTATCCTACTTATTTACCCACCCACTCACCCACCCACCCACCCACCCTCAACCCCCCCTCACTTCCCAGAGCAGAGTACAGGGTTATGAATAACAAAATTAACAATATACAATAAAAAAGAAAAAAGAAAAACTGTGATATATTTAAAAGCACATTAAAACTACAAATACATGAAATGCTGAGAAAAGTAATAAAAATAACAAATTGGGCTTATATCTTCAGTCCTAGATGATGCAAAATAGAATAGTTTGATTAGTTTGAAAGGCTGCAAAGAATATGATTTATTAATGTGATCAAGTATAATTAGTGGGTTGCAGAGTAATACCTGGCTGTACCTGGTAAACATTTTATACTTTTGTGTTATGCCATGCACAGAGTTTCCAGAATGAAATTGGAATAGGTAGATGTCATTATGTTTTGGAAATGACCATAATTTAATATTATTATTATAGTCCAGGAATCAGAATGTTTTCTCACAAATATACACCCTGTCAAACAGAGAAGATAGCTTACAGCAAGTTGCTCATGTAAGCATGTGTTATTTTGTCCAATCCTTGGCTGAATTCCAGTGGTAGTAATTCTCTTGGTGATTATCATCAGTAATTTTCTAGCAGTTCAAATTTTATTCAGTAACATCTGTTAGCTGCCATTTGGTATCCTCAGGTGACATAAATGGACCGGCAAATTGTATACTGAGCCAGCTTTTTATTTTAACCAAGCAAAATGTTATTCTACTCCAACTGCAGTATTCCAATGGCAGCATGAGCTATGATTTGGTCCTTGTATCGTTTTCATTAAGATGCCTGGTATTTGGGGAATTATAGTAGGCTCACTCTAAGCTAGGTTACCTAAGAATCCTGGCAATGTTAATGAGTGCTCAGAAGAACTATTGAAAAATTAAGCAGAATTAAGCTCTTATTATGAAATTCAGAACTATGTTACTACCTCATAAATCTTTGTTATAACTAAGAGTCCTGGAGATTTTTTAAGAAGAGACTGGACATCCATCTGTCTCAAATGTTATAGGTTTTCCTGCTTGAGCAGGGGGCTGGACTAGAAGACCTCCAAGGTCCATTCTATTCTATTCTATTCTATTCTATTCTATTCTATTCTATTCTATTCTATTCTATTCTATTCTATTCTATTCTATTCTATTCTAGATATTCTGTAACCTCTTGCTCTTTTTCCTCAGTGCTTCATGATTTTTTGAACTCATCTTAACTGCACCTATGGGCTTTAAAAGCTATAATAAATGTTTGCCTGTACCAATTTTGATTAGGCATGATGTTTCAGTGATTAAAGATGCTGAGTTGTCAGCTCGAAAACTGACACCCCGGGGTTGAAGACCCAAGTGCTGAGTAACAGGATGTGCTTCAGTTTCTTCCCAACTCCTGCTCACCTAGCAGTTCGAAAGCATGCAAATGAGAGTAGATAAATATGATACTACATGATCACAGAAATATCTTTGGACAACAATGGCTCTCAGAGAGAAGCACCCTCGTCTAGAGTCAGACATAACTGGAAAGGGGAAACCTTTACCTTTACTTTATCATTTTTTCAAAGCTTTGGATCATCTTGCAGTAGAGGAAAATATGCATAGCATCTAATTTATTTTTAAAGGTATGTATTTCATCTAGGAACATCATTAATATTGCTATAACAATGCATTAATTCACATCAAGAAGACCAGAGGTTTGGCTGAAAGTCTGTATTAGAATTATATGTTTATACAGAGACTTTCTGAGGATAATGCCTCTAGAAAACTAGGAATTCTCAATATAAAGATAGACTAGATAAGCATAAGATAAGCTGTTTTGACAAGGATATCTCATTAAGTTATAGAGTTACATTAACAGAAGTTGCTAAACAGTCAGACAAAGTCATTTCTACATTATGGTTCTAAATCTGTGCACATTGTGAATATTAATTTCATTAATGAATCTAGCAAAGTGAGAATAATGAGAAGCAGTACAAACTATCGTATCAGATATGGCTTATAAAACATAAAGCAAATATAATTCCATTTTATTAAAATGCAGAGAGAAAGGTATCTTTAAAAATATCCAAATTCCAATTCTAAATGAAACCAAATTAACAAAATAAATGGGTCCCAAAAGGTTAGACACAACTCTTCTGTCCAACACTTTTATGCAACTAATCAGAGATATTGCCCAACTATTTGAGGGATTAGTGTGGAAAAGAAGGCTGCTGAGAAAATTGCAGGCACCTGTGCTGCCTTCTTCCCTTCCTATTTGAATCTTCTACCCTGCTTCAGCATGGCAGAATTGCCTATAAAAACTGAAACCTTGAAACAGATGAGGAAGGAAATGTGTTTTTGAAATTGTGTAGCTAGCAACAAACAGTGAAAATGGCTAAATTAAATAAGAAAAGGTAGTTTTCTTTCAAAGGGAGTGAATGATGAGTAGAAAAAGAAGAGAGATCGGGAATCTGCACGTGCTTTACATACTGACCATGCAGAGGAATCTGTAAGTGAAAAACATTGTCTATGCTGGTAATACGAATACTGTAGTGTTCTAGTACAAACTAGTATATGCTAGTAATAGTACAGAAATAACAGTACTATAGAAGTAATAGAATAATAGTAAAAGTAGTAAAATATAGTGTAGAGAAAATTGTAATAGTACAATAGTAATAGAAAAAGACTACAGGATAAGAGAATAGCAATAGAAACCACTGACACATGCATGTTTGGATATTTTACTTTTGTGCCTTATTTTTTTCAAAATATAACATTGTATAAGAGGATAAGGTAGTACTTAGCTCATGAATGGTTGCTTAGAGAAACGTTCAAAATTATGAAAGACCCACAAAAAGCTACTTATGACCTGGTTCTGAAGTTCTGACAGTTGCTCCCCATGGTCACATGACCATATTTTCGGTACTTGGGAAACCAGCCCACATTTATGGTGATTTGCAGTGTGCTGTGGTCACATGATCACTATTTATGATCCTTTTCTGGAAAGGAATTTACTTCCATTTCTGGAAAAAAAAAGCCCATAGCAAACAATAGGTTTGCTTAACAATTATGGTATTAGCTTAATGACTTCAGCTTTTGCTTTATGACTGTGTTTGCTTAATGATCACCACAAAATGGATATAAAATTGGGTACAGTCATGTAATAACCTGTTTTATGACCATCGACTTATAATTGTGAGACACAATTATTTCATTTATTTATTTATTTATTTTATTTATTAATAAAATTTATATGCCACCCAATCCCTAGGGACTCAGGGTGGCGTACAAAATTAAAACAATAAATATAACAATAAAAATGAGTGCATTCATACAGCATGTCCCAGTCGTGTCCCGTCCCAGGACATCAACCGTGACATCAACCCCAGGCCTGCCAGAACAGGAGAGTTTTAATGGCTTTCTTGAAGGCCGGCAAGGTGGGAGTAGTTCAAATCTTGGGGGGAAGTTGATTCCACCACGTCGGAGCCACCACAGAAAAGGCCCTTCCCCGAGGGCCCGCCAGCCAACATTGTCTGGCCGACAGGACCTGAAGGAGGCCCAATCTGTGGGACCTCACTGGTCTCTGGGAACTATGCGGCAGTATGCGGTCCTGTAAGTAACCTGGTCCTAAGCCATGAAGGGCTTTAAAGGTGATAACCAATACCTTGAATTGCATCCGGAGACCCACAGAAAGCCAGTGCAGCTCGTGGAGGATAGGTGACATGTGGGTGTACCTATTAATGTATGTTAATATATGTTAATGTATAACATATCTTACATGGACTAGCAATATATTAACATTTCACGTAGATCTATATAAAACAATATGTATAAAAATTCAACTATCCAGGGTCTATTATTTTTGAGTCAATCAAATTGCACATAGTTTAAAAAAGATCCCACGACAATTAGTAATATAGTCTTGACTTCCAGTTTTAAAAAAGACCCCATGACAATTAGTAATATAGCCTTGACTTCCAGTTTTAATGACTTGAGAGTTTTAGTTCCAGTTTTAACATTTGCTTGAAGAGATTGTGACTAAATATAGTTAAAACAATGAAGCAAAAATTATGGCACAAAACCAGCATCTATAAAGAATGTAAGATATTTGTCCAAATAATATCACTTGTGTTCTTGAAGCTAAACAATACTGAATCTGGATGCTGCCTAAAAATACCACAAGGAAGTCAGGATATAATATATGGAAAATGTAATGTTACAGAACATTCTTTTTTTTAAACTGTAAAGAGTGATCCAATTTACTTCATTTTTTCCTAACCAAATGTTTCCCATAATAAAATACAGAAATTTCACTGACTGAAATGCATTATTTCTCCTATTTATGTCTACTACAGGCTCTTTTCTAAGGCAGTTTTAGATACATGCTTGCTATTAGCCATCATGTTTCATCATAACATCCCTCAGGCGTACATTGTGAAGAATAGGGAGGAGGGATGAAACTGGAGCCAACTACATTTGTGTATATCCTAAAGTGTCAGTGGCCATCTCTTTTTCAGAAGATGGATGTTTCTGCTTTTGAGTAGCTCTCCAGAGAGCTAATGGCTGACATGGCATTATTACCAGCTTGCAATGAGCTCCATTTTTTTTAATGGTAATTTGTTACACTGGTTTGCCACACACCCGCTTCTTCCTTGTTAATCCAATAATCTATATGAGAAAAGCAATTTGACATTCCTTCTTCCCATCTGCCACCCATCACCTAATCTATATCTTAACTAACAGTGATTTATTAATGGCATCTGCATTAAGTACATCTTTGGTTGGCTGGCATCCCTTCTTTTTCTTTCAGACACGCTCCTTTGGCTACGTTTAAAAAACAGAATCAGCAAGGAGATTAAAAACAACAGCCAAGGATGAGATCAAATGCACTTCTGTGATTCATTCAGATAATTTTCAGGCAGGCATGCAGACAGGTAAGCATATATCTTTCTCCCACATGGAAGCTATTTCCCCACAGCATTGTGCCTTCCTAGCTCATTACTTCTAGCTTTGATAGTTTAATTAATGTTATGTCCATGCTTTTCAAATTTTGGAGATGGCTTTTACTCAAGTGTCTGTGAGCAAGACCCTACAGTAATAGTCTGATAATGTAAACAATGTAGGGTAAGTTCAACATCTACAGAGTGATAACAACAACCAAGTGGAAGCTGGCTATTCAGGGTAATTATACTCAGTCTGATTCCCTCCATCTATGTTTGGTTATAGTTCCAATAACTCTTTGCCAGCATGCCCAATGATGCTGGAAGGGCACTGAAGTCAAGAGAGATTAATATATGTGTACTTGGAGGTAGGTTATGAGTTGCTTCTGAGGTCTCTATGTTCTACTATTAATCTTAACTTCAAACATCTCTATTTTCTGCTTTAGGTACTAAAAATATTTGCACCAATGTAGCACACTATCTCACATCTTAATGATAAAATGTTCTACCAATATAACATTGTGCTTCCTTGTACATTCATTTCAAAAGGTTCAGAAATATAAGCAGTTAATCCTGTGGGTTTAATAAATCACATATGTAGATTTTACATGGATTTTCCTGTTTTCATTTGTCACATGCACTAAGTTGATAAGTGAAAAATGAAAATTTTTTGGTTAAATATTTCATTTTTTTGTTAAATATCTAGTGTACAAGCAGTGCATATCCCATTCTTGTTCTACCCTAATTTCAAATATAGCAATAGCATTTAGCAATAGACTTATGTACTGCTTCACAGCCCTCTCTAAGCGGTTTACAGAGTCAGCATATTGCTCTCAACAATCTGGGTCATCATTTTACTGACCTCGGAAGAATGGAAGGTTGAGTCAATCTTGAGTTGGTGAGAGTTGAACTGCTGAAATGCTGGCAGCTGGCAGTCAGCAGAAGTAGCCTGCAATAATACATTCTAACCACTGCACCACCACAACTCATAATATCTTCAATATCACATTCTGGAATCAGAATCAATCCATCTATTTACCGAGGCTATGTGATGTTTCTTTTCCAGAGATAGTATGCACCTTGCAGAACAGTTTCCAGCTAGACTGGTATTCACATTATTGTCTTTCTGGAAGATTTGAAAACATAATTGTTCAGGAAAGTATATAATGATGAATAGATGCTCTTTATGCACTGGTTACTATATATTACGAGAGGATTATTTGTGTTAATAATATATCAGGGAATTATTCCATTAGTCTTTAGTGTTTGACTGCAGATGTTTTATAGTATGACTGTACTTTGTGGAGGTTATTAACTGTGAAAAATAATCTTGTTTGAATGTTTTAAATGTATAGGGAAGAATTTTTCCTACCAAAATTACACTTGAAATATAATCTTATAAATAGCATTTCAAGGGGCACTTTTGTAGGAGGAAAAGCTGTTGATGAATGGCTTGACTAATGGGAAGAACTATTGCTCAAAGATTTAGCCTATTTCACATACATTTGACATATTTTGTAAAAGGCAGATTCTTTAAGGGTTATGAAGGAATTTGAAATTCAGGAAACAGAATAACTTGTGAACAAAATTGCCAAAGAATAAGTTGAATGAAGTTAACCATTTGTTTTTTAAAATTTATTTAGTTATCAGCCTTGCAAAGTAGTCCACATAGGAAGCACACAAGTGTATCTCTCCCCTGTCCCCTTTGCTAGTCTAAGAGATCTTCTTCTGAAATATCTGCCATACCCACATTACTGTTGTGAGCTAAGCTGGCTTTTATCTGACACTTCTCCTGCCTGTGGCTCTACCCGTCCCTTCCAAGGCCATTTCTAAATATACACCAGTGTTGTGTACAAATTAGTTCCCCTCCAGTCTGTAATTTAAAGTATACCTGAATTGATTTTTATTAAGAAAAAAGGGAAAATATAACAAAAGACAAAAAGTATTAGTGCATTAAAATACGAAAAGAGCTCTCAAAGGTTTTATTCATCCTACCTTCCTTAAAGGCGGGTTCAATAAAATATATTTACAGTGAGTTTCTGTTATTATTTGAAAATGAATGTAAATATTTACACTTTTTAATTTTTTTAAAAAATATATTTTTTTATTTCCCATCTAAGGTATGAAATGAAACTACAAATTACATGATATTTTCTCATCTTACCTTTTGGAAAAAAAGCTAAGATGAGAAAATATTCCATAAAAGCCCAAGGAGAAGTGAAAGTCCTTAACAATTACATTTTATACACTGATACTTAAAAAGGAAAGCAAAGTACAGCCAAGACAAGAAGACAGTAATGGGTCTTGGCTGCAGAGTGGAATACTGTACTTTTATGAAATAGTTTTTCATTAGAACTCTTAGTTTACTGGAGTAGGGTAATGCATAAATATTAATACTGAGGTTGATATTGCATAGGTCTATTACTCCTCCAACTAACACTCTCTCTCTCTCTCTCTCTCTCTCTCTCTCTCTCTCTCTCTCTCTCTCTCTCTCTCTCTCTCTCTCTCTCTCTCTCTCTCCCGCTCTCCCGCTCTCCCATTCTCCCACTCTCTCTCTTGCTCTCTCTCTCTGGGTCCCTCTCCACGCAACAAAATGGGATACTAAAATCTTAATTTGGGATTCTGCAGCTTCAAATTCAGCCTGAAGTCCAGTGGTGGGATTCAAATATGTGAACAACCAGTTGTCTATGTGGATGCCACTTCCAGAAGTCCATTCTGGGCAGGCAACAAAAAATTAGCTACTGGTTCTGCTGAAATGGTGCGAACCAGCTGAATCCCACCACTGCTGAGGTCCCTCCCATACTTCCCCCATTTTGCCATCAGTGCTGAAAGGTTTTTTTAAAAAGATAATCTGCAATCACCTGACCATCCAGAATGCCTAGGAACAAAACAATGGAGAGAGAAAAACAATGTCTTATCCCAAGCTGCCACTGGTGTTTTATAAACAAAAAAGCTTCACTCCCATTTTGCACTAAAAATAAATAAAACTAATGATTTCTCCCAATTCATAACCTTATATCAAATTTGCTTACTTGTTTAATTGTCTGAACAAAGCAAAAGAACAGAAAACCTCAGCATTTTCTATGGTGCGGAAAGTTAAAATACTATGCAGCTACTTTCCCTTGAAAGACCTTCTAGCTTGGATAGGGCCAAGAAGACAAGTTAGAAAAACAAAAAAATATTGTAAAGAAAGAAAATAGCTTACTAATAAGCTCTAGAACAGTGGTTCTCAACCTGTGGGTCAGGATCCCATTTGGGGTCTAACGACCATTTCACGAGGGTTGCCAAACAATGCAACCTGCCATTTTTTCCCCTTTTCCTTAGCTGTGCTACTCCCTTTTATTCTATTGGCTTTTGAAAGCCATAGAATAGACTCTCTTGAATAGAGTCTAATTCTATTGGCTTTCAAAAGCCAATAGGAATTGTCCAGGCTGTCTCTGCCCTGCTGAGCCCGCCAAAAGTCCCATTCTGCAAACGGTGCTGCACCAGTTGAGTGGTCCTCGACTTACGACCAGTTGGTGGTCGCAGCATTAAAAAGATTGAGAACCACTGCTCTAGAAAGTAGCAGCTTCTTATCAGGATCAATACCATGGGATTTATCCCCATGCTAATATTACATATGTAGATATTGAAATTTGTGGCAAATCCAGTCTTAATCCAGACAATTAACTTTTCTCTCATAGTTCTTGTACTCACAATTAGATAGGTATTCTCTCATTGGTTGCTGTTTTGGCAATGATTAGACACATAATTATATCAACATTTTACTATATTAAAGTGATCCCTGTCCTATTACTGATGCTGAGAGTTTGGCCCTTCTGTTCTTCTCTCTGTAATTTTGGTTGATTCTATTTTATTTCTTTTTATTATGTTTTAATAAGTGACCAATGTATGATTTCATGAGGAACAAAGATACAAATATTTAAAAATAGAAAAACAATACAATTACAAGGTAAGCCATACATATAAGGGTTTCTCATGCATATATACCGTAAATATATATGAAACTTTTAATATAACATTTTCAGTAAAGATAACTATATTTCATTGTTATTGTCCAGCATAATGTATGTTTATTGGCAATTCATTTGATGTAACATCAGGTCTTCAATCCATTGGGTAACTGGAGCCAAAAATTTATTTTTTTCAATATTGAAGAGCTAATCCCTCTGCCTGGCAATAATAATGACATGGAGAAACCATTTCCATCTATAGTCCAATTATAGTTCAAAAGAATTCTTGTGCAAATACAGTATATTATTATTTTTTTTTTTTAAAAAATCAAATATATATAATTAGTTTTTCCCAGGGCATAGTAACTTTATGGCATTGCAAAAATGTATTTTAATGAAGCATTGTTCTGCTTGCATATCTAATAACATGATTATTTAATCAGTTTTTTTCTGTATAACTGAGAAGGGGATCAATTAGTACAAAATACTATTTTTTACTATTTATATTGTAATCTAAAATCCAGTGATGCTTTTGGTACTGAGGTTAAGGCATTTCCCTTGTTTAGACAAAATGGGTGTTTCCAATTGCTTCTTCCATTCAATCTTTAAAGTTTGTCAATAAAATTGTTTTATTGATAAATATTTATAAAGACTGATTGTGGGCTTTTTAGCCTCATAGGATTTAATGATCCTCTCTAATAAGTTAGGTGTCTTTGAGGCTGATATTGCTGCTCCAAATTGAAATGTCAATAAATGTTGTAATTGTAAATACTGCCAGGAGGTGGCAACTGACAAATGGTATTTCTCTTTCAACACACAAAATGATAAACACTCATTATTATCACTTGATCGATCTAATATAAACACCCACATTGTTTTTGAATTGATTTGATAATGTATTTTGATTTTGGAACATTTCAGGTAACTAAAGGTATTTAACAGTAATTTACAATTAAGGAAGGCATCCAAACTTTCGTACTGATCAAAGGGTAT